ACAAAAATTGAGAGAAACCTTATCGAGAAAGCTACAACACCACCGGAGTTCACACGCGTCTCCACGAGCCACCAAAAGCCTTCGAAAACCGAAAGTACTTTCATAGATTTGCTCCAATTGGGAGCTTTTTAAGGTAAACGAACATAGGAATCGTCATTAGGACGGTCTGATCTTCATTTTGGTGTAAGGTCGTATTTTCCGACAACCAGAGGCAGTGGCCGGCGGAGGAGTTAACGGCGGTATACGGCTACTGGTTAGCGACCAGATTCCCTTCGGTGAGGGAATCCTAAAGAGAGACGAGATAAAAATGTCTCTCCTTTGTGTATAGAAAATAAATAAATAAATAAGTTAGAACTTATTTCTCCATTGTGTACACCTACGGACAGAGTGTCAGTAATGTCTAAGATCAGGTAAATTTCTAGGGTTTATTATATGCAGGGTTTCGGTTCTAAGAGTAAAGGTACTCGAATTGTCCTTGTTGGTGCCCCTTTGGGCTGTCAAACCCTCAATCCTGGTTCATTACAGACTTAAGCGGATCGAGTTCAATTCGAGGGGACACATTTCTCTATGCCTGATACGGAAAATAAATTCTCACGAAGACATAGAGCATATAAACCCCGAAGTTACTTACTAAGTCTGACACAGAGAATAAATTCTCACAAATACGTCGCTTTCACTCTCACTTAAAAGGAAAAAGAGCTCAAGTATAGAGCTTATGTTTATGCAATGCAAGTGTTGTGTGTGAAGAGAAATTTTCACAAAAACTAATATATAAAAAGCAATTAAATATAAATATTAATATACAAGGGTATAAAATAAATTGAAAGAAATAAAAAGAATCATAAATTAAATAAAATTGAATTCTTAATTTCTAATTATAGAGACAATAAATAATCGATTTAGGTTTGACCAGGGTCCCCAGCAGAGTCGCCAAACTGTCGTAATCGACTTTCGCCCGGGCACGAATTTTTACTTGGCGGGAAAAGTAAAATGAATAAATAAATGATTTTAATTTTAAAAAATGTTTTGGGAGTCGCCATTGACCTTTTTAGGTTAGGTATGTCAAATGCCTAAAAATAATCTTTTAAAATAGTTTTTAAGAAAACATAATTTAAAAGATAAACTAATCTGCATATAACCAAAAAAATTTAGTAAAAAAATGATTCGTGGTCGGTTACGTTTAGGGAAGGATTAGCACCCTATAACGCCCAAAATTGGTACCCATTAATTATAAATTGTGTCTATTATTGGAAATTTAAGAATTCAAAAATATATTTAATTCATAATCCTGTGATTTCAAATTTATTAGTATAATTTCAAAAAAATATATTAATTTTTATAAATATATATTTTTTATATTTTTATAAATATGATATTTATTTACTTAGAAATATTAGAAAATGACTTCTAGTTGCTTTAAGACAACCTATTTCTTAATATTAAAAAATAAATAAATGTTAATAAAACTTTTTTCTAAAAATAATTAAATTAAATTAATATATATAATTTATAAAAGTATGATATTTATTTATTTAAAAATATCAGAAAATGACTTCTAGTTGCTTTAAGACAACCCCTTTCTTAATATTAAATAAATAAATACATGATTAAAATAATTTATATTAAATAATATATATATATATATATATATATATATATATATATATATATATATATTATAAGCATGATATTTATTATTTTTAAAATACCATAATAGGACATCTAGTTATTTTAAGACTGACCTTTCTTAATATTTAAAAATAAATAAATATTACTAATTTATAAAATTAATCAAATAATATTTATTAATATGACTAAAATAATATAATAATAAAATAATAATTAGAATATTGAATTAAACATATTGAAATTTAAAGAATAAAATTAAATTAAAATATAACTAAATAGTTACTAAAATAAACATATATAAAATTTGAACATCAAATTAAAATAAATTAAAACATGCTTTTCGGGATTAAAATATTAATTATTAAAATTAAAATGGCTAAATCTGTTATTTTACCTAAAATAGATAATTATGTAACGGACTAAATTATAAAACCAATAAAATTAAGAAACCAAATTAAAATGCTCATAAATTTGATTTAGTGACTAAAATAAAAAAATATACAAAACAGAGGGACTGCGGACGGGGTTTAACATTTAATAAATTACACAGAGGTCCCTCCCTTAAACGACCCTAATATACCCGGCCTTAAGGTCATTTCTTTCATTTCTACTCTTTTCTCTCTCTCTCTCTCTAAAAACCGAGAGAGAAATTTCTCTCTCGTCTCTCTCTAGGATTCCCTTACCGAAGGGAATCCGGTAGCCGTATGTCGTCGTTAACTCCGCCGGTGGCCAGAAAATACGACCTTACACCAAAATAAAGATCAGACCGTCCTAATGACGATTCCGGTGTATGTTTCCCTTAAAAAGCTCCCAATCTGAGCAAATCTAGGAAAGTACCTTCGGTTTTCGAAGGTTTTTGGTGGCGCGTGGAGATGCGTGTGAACTCCGGTGGTGTTGCAGCTTCCTCGGTAAGGTTTCTCTTAATTTTTGTTTTAATATTTTGGTGGTTTGGTTGTTGTATTCTTACTGGTGGTTGCTCTATTGTTGCTTTGTTCTTATTTGTTGGTAGGGAATCGGTGGCTTTTATAGCCACCACCGATGATGGCTTCGGACCGGTCACAAGGAGGGGTTTCGGTGAGTCACCGAACTTGTGGTGACTCACAGAAGAACGGTGACGCGTGTGCGGCTGGCAACGTTTTCTAAAGCCTTCGTTTGGTGTCGTCGCAGCGGCTGGTGGCAGCAGAGGAGATGAAGCAATGGCAGCAAAGGAGGCAGCGACGTAACCCTAGGGTAATGATACCCTAGGGTTTCTGGAACCATGTGGGTCATTGGATCAAAGCTAGATCCAACGGCTGTTGTTGTTGGCGGCTGGAGAAGAAGATGAAACCCTAATCTATTTAGGGTTTCTAAACTTGGGCTAGTTCGGGTTGGGCTTCTCAGATATGGGTCTGGGTTCTGTAAAATGGGCATCGGTTTACTGTTGGACTCTGAGATTTGTAAAATGGATCTGTTTGTAATAATATTAATATTAATAATAATCATAATAATAAATAATAATATAATAATAATAATAGTTATAAACAAATAAAAATAAGAAACAAAATGAGTAAAAAACTAGTGTCTTCATAACCAAATAATTATTTTTGGGATGTTAGAATTATTTAAATCTCACCATTAAAGAGTCTCAGTCAATCAACTGTTAGTGGCGTAAGAGTAGTCACATGAACCGGCGGGTGTAAACCTTGAGTTTTCAACGAGACCAATATGGTAGATCCCACCAAATTGACCTTTGTATGTAACCGGGAGTTAACTCTCATGATGTCATAGATAGATGGAAATATAAAATTAATTACTCTTGCTTGCATTTTATCAACCACTTGAGAAACAATATGTTCTTCTTTAAATTCCACAGACTATACCATTTTTTCTCTCTGGTAATTAATCGTTCATAATTCATTTGATCTAGAACCAATGGATGATTAGGAACACTCGAATAAGATTGAACATCAAAAGGAGGATGAGATTCATCTCATGCCGGAATCACTGTTGTGTTTGGAACGGTTAAATTCGATAACATTCCAAAGATCTCCTTAAGCATTTCAATCTGTTTTTTTCCTAAATTCTATTTATTGCTTGCAGGTGTGGACTGATCTTTCTCCTCTCCACAGCTTTCACCATCATACTCAAAATCCGTTGTAACTTTTGTTTTTCTCTGTTTTAGCCTGTAAAACTTGTATCTGTGTCTCCCAATCGTTCTTTTGGTCTTTCCATCAAGTTGAAATCACCTCCTCTTCCTTCGTTCCCTCTAGATCATCTAGTATCTTTGTTACTTTTTTGTTGATAATCAATTTTCAAACTTTGTTGGATTTTTCCAGTTTGAAAAAAGAATTTTTGCTTTTGGATTAAAATAATTAAGCTCTGATACTAATTTCTCATGGATGTGGAGAAATTAAGTTGAAATTAATAGAAAAAATGATAAGATTAGCAGAAGTTGAGAGAAAAGTAGGAAGACTCATTTCATTCATCAAAATCATAACATTCTTTTTAGTACAATTTCTATATTTATATAGCTTATAGTTATCTCCAAAGGCTTCCTGTCGTTAAGTCTTTAGAGTTTATCCTTCATAATTGACCCAATACCATTTGCTAATTAATCATTCTCTTTGGATCCACTTCGCTACAACGCCTGGCCCATATTTGACCCGTTGAATGTCCCATCATTTTGTTTAGCATGCCCGGTGCTATTGTTGTCTGTTTGAACTCCAATCCCTACTATTCCATCCATGCTCATGCCATTATGAATTGATCGAAAGATTTTCTCTGTTATCTACCATCTTTGATAGTGCCTTGTGAACAAAACAGCATAGGGTTGATGGTTCAAATTTTAACAAACGTGCCATCGTCCCATGTTTTGAATGTGTCGAACATGCTTGGCACACTACAGGAGAAAGCTAAGCGTAGGATCAGGAATGTAATGTACTTTCCATTTAATAGGTCTATGCTATCAATTAGGCCACAACAGCCAAGAGGATATTTTGTTTCCTCGTCTTTGAAGCATTGGCTCGTATATATCTCTGGATGTAAAGTTTCATGGCCACTACAAGTTTGAATAATGTTTTCACATGCATATTATAGAACTTGAACTCTTTGCCAGACGATAAAATAATCAAGTTGTTTCCGGATAGCTATTCATAGTTAGTTGGCCTCTGCAAATCTGAGAAAACACCTGCCTTTGAAATCGAATCTGCCGTTTCTAGCACAGTGCGATTTCAATGAAAGCAATCCTGTTGAAAATTTTGACCTCCTTTTTCCCTTACCACATTGAGTTATGTGATACAAAAAACTGGAAATCGGGAAGATGGACTTGTAAACCGTGCAGCCAGTTATTAGCAGCTTGTAACAGGGAGTTTGCTTGCTGCCATTCTTGGGAACAATTGGGAGTCAAAATCGAGCCTCTCAACTTATAGGATGCAAGACCGAAAACGGGTAGAGAGAACTTTGAAGATGCATCAACACCACATATTTTCCTACTACTAGAAGCAGGAAATTGTAGCTGATTTTTACCTGTCACTTCTGTAAAAATAAATGATAACGTTAACACAACATATAACGTAGCGTGGTCATGATTGTAAACGAAAGAGGATATACTTCGAGAACATGTTGACAAAGCATGGAAGGTCAAGAATGATGCATCCAGGTTTTGTAGGGTTGGACCCATAGGTATTCTGTATATTGGGTACCTAACAAAAAAAGCATAATAAAAAACCACATGCACAGTGAGTATAAAAGAACAGAGACTCGGTCAATCCTTAGAAGTATAACGATGTCCTACCAAGCCACTGAGATCCAACTTGTTGGCAATAAATCACAGCTCCTGTACATCCTGATATCTGGAAATTGAGATGCAAGACTCGAAATCTGTTTGGTCAAGGAAAAAGCAAGCATCCAAGTCAGGGCAACAGACATTTGATGAGAAAGAACTTGACATTCTACATCACCACCAACATGAACTTGCCTTGTCATATAAAGGTTTCCGATGATGTGGCTGTTCTTGTTCAAAGTATTCAAAATCCAAAAGCCCGGGCGAGTTGCCAACCTCCATTTCATCATTAGTGAACTCGTAGGAGGTTTACTGATCCCCCGGGAGTTATGCTTCCCCCATGCTCCATCAACATCACCTTTCACTCTCCTGTCTGTTTCACAATCGCTACTTCCAGCATTACTAGCTACTATTGAAGACTCAACATCACTATCCTCGCTAGCTCTCCTAATAGTTCAATACATAGTCAGATTTCCAGAATTAACAGTAAAGGCAACTCAAAAAAAATAAAAGATCCACTGTTTAGTCATACAGATTATCTAGGCATACAGCTCTAAGTCACAAGCTGGTCAGCCACCGTTAACAACCTGGTTTTCCTTACAGAAATAGTTCCTTGAAGAAGCAGGAAATAAATCACATATGGAGAAAACCATTGATCCTGTCTAACAAACTTACTGTCATGCATACACTTCTGTCATACAATAATGTCATAGAGGAAGTGTGAGGAAAGCAAACCTGTGGTCTCGGTCGAGACCAGATTTACCTTAAAATATTAACCATTACTTCAAGTGCGTCAATGAGCATAAACTTTCAAGATTCACAAGAAATAATGGGAAGCATATTCCCTTGTCAAAGCCATGGAAACTAGAGAACATCTCAAATTAACATTAAGAACCTGTAAAGAACGGAATATTTTAAGAAAATACAGGCCTACAATTAAATAGATGCATCTAATGTAGAAAATCCAATCAATCATGATCAAAACGATCAGGCTGATTAAAGAGAGAATTCAAGGCTTCTTGTTGCCAGAATAAGGAAAAATTCATATATATAAACAATAAATTCAAGTAATTACACCTTCACAATACCAAGAGGAATAAGAATCTATAAGTTTCTCTGTGCCATGTAGCTAAAATGACGCAATAAAAAACATACAATCTACTGTCATATTTGCAGGACTTTGTGAGTTGGGAAGAGGAAAATTCCAATAGAAAGATATGGTGGTAAGAAGCTTACCTAAGCCTATTCGGATCTACATACAATTGTATGCCTGACAAGGAAGGAACGTAGTATTGCTTAACCGAATCACTCCCATTCAACAATAGTGGCACTCCAACTCCATATACACTCCACTCACTAAAACATTCCCATAGGTCGCCAAGACAAAAGTATGGCCGTAAATTTACTTCATGAGTTCTCCAACCTATCATTTTTGCCTATCAAACCAAAAGCAAAAGGGAAAAAGGACATAAATGAATGCCATGTGTCAAACTAAGACACCTTAGTTTCAACAAATTAGTAAGAGTATATATGAAGGAAAAATAATTGAAAAAAAACAATGATTCTTTTATTTCCAAGAACAAGACTCGGCAATGTTATTAGAAACAAGATTAATTTAAATCTTCTCATCACTTCAGAACCACAAGAATGCAAGTCATTGTAAAACTAAGACCCTACTCAATTAATTAGTACTAAGAAAGGTTGTTCTCTACTGAAATTTGTAATAAACTGAACACAGTATTTCAAAAGAATAATTGAAATCCATTCAATTATACAATTTACACTCCTAAGAATGACGCTTTTCTGTTATCTCAACTTAATCTCAGGTTGGCCCAAACAAAAGCATCATTAATTAGCTGACTTTACTTCTGTTTTTTTTTTTTCTCTTTCCTAAGCCACCAGATAGGTAAACAAAACTCAAAATATAATTTTCAGTACTTATATTTAGAACTTATTTTGTTGCAATTTGTCGAGGTCGTCTTTCGGTTGGCCCCAAATCGAGCTTCGACTTTATAGACCTTTCATGTCTGAGACTGTTCTGTTTGAAAATGTTTTTCTCATTTTTCTGGTTTTAGGAGGGAAAAGGATAAAAATCTGGAAAATATTGTTCCTTAATTCATGCTCGCAATTGAATCAAATTGTAAACATGAGTTCAAAGTATATCAAAGGAATCAATAGCTCTTTTTAATGCTTTTAGAGTTAAAGCACTTTGACAAATGTTTGAATGGATGAGTTGGCTTTAGGTTGACCTACGGTTTCAGCCATAAAAAATATCATTTTTTCGGTCATTGCAACATGATTTTTCTTTGGCTTGTCATTTTAATTGGATGCGGAAAAAATGACGCAACTAACATTATCAATTACTAGACCTTCTATTTTGCTTCTCTGAAATCTTCCATTTGTTCAAGTTTTGTAAGTTCTTCTAACAAAAGTAGTGCAGAAATATCGGTCTAAAAATGAAATTCTTGAGTGCTCGTGTGAATTTGACTATAACATGTGTTCCTTAACTCCCTTAGTCCATCATTACCGAAAATTTATTACTTAGATAAATTTGATTTAATTTGCCATTATCTGGCTAGCCAAATCTATAAAGCCAGGGCGTTTAACCAATTGCTTTAGAGGGAAAGCTTTAATATTATAATCACTTTTATCAGGTTAACTAAAGGGTTCATCTCATCAAAAAGTCTTTAGCTTGACAATAGCAGTGGACCAAACACCGAGTTGCCAAGTGTCCTAGTAATGTCATGGTTTGAACGCAATCTATTCATAAAGCCAGGGCTTTCGAGTTTCCTCTATAACCAATTGCCTTAGCGGAATAGCTCAGTTTTTACAGATTTAATTTCTTAAGATTGTCGAGAATAACCTGTTTATAGCCTAGGTGTTGTTAAAAGTCAAGGAATCTCATCTTTAGAGTTCAATTTCCAAGCAACTGACCTAGACTAGATTTGCTTACTCGATTATTCCATCTGTGAAGATCATTATCATCACTGAACGTCTTAAATCAAAAGTATAGTAATGTCATATGCAAAAGGATGCCCCATGTTGTCCGCACCTTATGAAAGAAAAATGTTACATTGGTTAATTGCAAAAGCAGGGTACGATGTTTGAGTGTATATTTTGGGTAATGTCAAAGTCCTTGTTTTAAATCATGTTACTTTGTCAGGGATTTGTAACTTTGAACCATTTACAGAGCTTTTTAATTCAGTTGATATTCAAAGAATTGCAAGTTTGCAAATGTGATTCATTGCTCGTCATCATTAAAGTAACATAAATTTGTTTAAAAATCCTTACAAAAACTTGAGAAAAAATGAAAAAACAAATTCAAACAGAATGCCTCAAATGATGAAATTGTCTGCCTCACTTGGATGCCCCCGAGTTGTTGAAGTTGATCCAATTCTTGTTATGTATTTTCTGTGTGATTCTCTTGAATGTGGAGTAGTTCTCGATAGTGTGCCCTGGGACACCGCCATGATATTCGCAATGAGCGTTCTCATCATACTACCTGGGGTACGGGGCTTCATGGGTTCCACCGGATATGGTGACACTACGTAGGTGTCAAGAAGTTGCTGGTAAAGTTCTTTGTAGGTCATGAGAATAGGGTCGAAATGTTCCCTTTCTCTCCTTGGTTCTCTGGAATCTATTTTCTTCTTTTCAGGCAGGTATTATGCGGATGGGGTATGTTCAAAGCTTGAGGTGGTGTATCCAGTATTTATTCCTTTTATTGAAGCATTCTTCCATTAGTTAATGCGAATGCAAATAAAATAACAAAATACAAAATATGTCTAAATGCATAATGCATGAAATGTCCGAGGCATTGATCCAAAAATGTGCTTGTTATTATGAATAATCCTTATTGGGGACAAAAGTGTTTTATCTTTTAAGAGACAAAAATATCCTGACAGCTTCTGACATGTTAACTAGTCTTTTGCCTTCGTCTGTCACCGGTTGAATAACCTATCGAACTGCTCCAGCTTCTATGGTTAAACCGCGCAAATGTTGAGTTGCTTTTTGTACTGGCCCAAGAAGTCTCGAATGACTGCATCTCAGGCATTTATCTTTTGTTGAGCCTGTTCCTAACGAATACGTCATTGAAGCCCTTAATTGATAAGAACTATGTGAAGTCTATTTGTCTGTTTCTTGAATTCTTCAGCAATGGTCTTCAATTTCAGCTATCGTTTTGCCATTGTTGTCTTTGAAAAGTCTCTCAAGATCAGTAACCTTCATATTGCCCCTGTAACCTCTGCCAATCAGTTCTTCCAAGATAGACTTTCATTGTGCTTGATGTGGACTCGATTCATTCTGAGTCCTTTATAACGCAACAGAGTGATATACTCTACAATTGTGGGCGCCACGTCTTTTGGATTGAATGTGACACACAATCGCCTTATAGACTGTCCTCTACATTTTCATCTCTTGTATTACAACCCCTTTATCCATTAATGCAAATTATTTAGGTTTAACGAACACATTTTTTTGTGGATCAACAACTCTTTTGAATGATGAAAATAAAATGAAATAAAAGAAAATAAAGATTAAAGGAAAATGTTAGTAAGATAAGGATAATAGAAAAATAATAATGAAAATAAAAAGTCTTACCCCACATGATATCTACCCCACATGTTTATTATTCCTACCGGACATGATCTCTATCCCGCATGCTAATTTCAAACAAATCTTAACCGCATATTTGTCTAGTTCGCATGCTTTAAACAAAAAGTAAAGCAGGAAACAATTCAGGTATCCTAAGGTTTGAAATGAGGTTTTGGGGTGGGCTCTAATTCTCTATAGTCTCCCGGTTTAGGTTCTAAAAAAGTATCCGAGTTCTCCTTGCTTGTGCCCCTTGGGCTTACCAAACCCTTAGTCCTAAGCCTATTACAAGCTTGTGTGGACTAAGTTAAACTCGAGATGACACATTCCCTTATATCTGTGCGGTGAATAAATTCACACGAAGACATAAGGTATATGAATCCCGAAGGCTACTTGCTAGGACCGCACGGTTAATAAATTCACACGAAGGCGTCGCTTTCACTCTCACTTAAATAGGGTTTGAAGCTCGAGTATAGAGCCTTAGATGGAAACTTTTCAAAAATATGAAATCATTGAAAAAATGTCAGTACAACTATTTATTTGAAAAATAATAAAAGGTAAATAATTGGAATCGAATAAATAAATTTAAATTTACTATTTTCGCATAAAAAGACAACCGAAAATTAATTTTGGTCTAACTCACTTACTTGTCCACAGCGGAGTCGCCAAACTATCGCAGCCGTCTTTCGGTTAGGCCCCAAATCGAGCTTCGACTTGAATAATTAGGTTGGAGTCACCACTGATCACTTTAAAAATATTTAGGTGGATCGGACACAATCTTACATGATCTACGTTTTACAAAAAACGTTCGGGAGTCGGTTATGGTCAATGAAGGATTAGCACCCTTGAACCGCCCTTTCGGTACCAATTAATTTGTCGGTTGTCTTATTTGTGAAAATTAAAATTAAAATTTAAAATATTCGATTCAAATTACTTACATTGAATTGATTTGAACAAATACTCTTAAAAAGGTAGAAATGTTAGGTTTATAAATTAAGATAGAAATGCATAAATATGAAAATAATAATAAAAATAATAAAATAAATGAAGGTGAAAAAAAACAAATTTCAATTCAGATGCACGTTTAACGTCTTTTATCGAACTTTCTTCCATTTAAAAATATATCTACTTTCATTGCATGTCAATTATAGAATAAAATAGCTTATGCTTTAAAAAATTCAGAGGGAAAACCATGTGAAGGGATTTAAGCACAGAACCAATTTCTCATAGGAATAGGAAGAACTTGGGCACGTTTGCCAATGGCATTGCCATGTGAAATGAATCATCAAATATATATATATAAGTTAGTAAAGAAATATAATAAAAAAATAAAATTAAAAGATATTAATGAAAAGCTATTACTGGGGTCCACCATCATTGTTATTTGAATTGAAGAAAGCACGTGGCTTGTCTGAGAGTTTGGGGCCATCGTTTCTATTGCCTTTTGATTACAAGTATGGCTATCACCAGGACAGACACCATAAAGAGAGGTAAAGCGTTCAGCATTTCTAGCCTCCAACACATAATTAATTTCATCAAACATGGGCCTTACCTTTCTTTCTCCGTTGCTTCCTCAGCCATGGATACGGCCTCGCTTTCTGCGCTTCCAAGTTGAACCTGATGATGAGACACGGCAGCACCACTACTATCCAAAGACAAGGGCACAGTTTCAAATCGCGGTCGCGTTTTCGATTATTTCGAATTTACCGTGATTGTGTCTGTCGCGGGTGCTATTGCGACCATCGCTGATAATTCGAACAGCGACGAAATCACTATATCGCGATCGAAATCACGGTCACGGACCGTTTTTTAAAACCTCTCAACCCTCCTTTAACTGCAGCGGCGATGCCTTTTCCAGGTGACATCATCTGCTGTTGCATCATCATTTTCATGGCACCACCGCCATTGGGTTGATGTTGTTTAAGCTTGGATGCTAGAATCTCATCATAGTGGAAGCCGACATTATCGTCGCGGTTAGAAGCTCCGGCTTCATCACACTTGAGGGGGTCCCAATGTGACTTGAGGTCGGATGGCCATGAGCAAGTAGGGAGAACGGAGAACATCTGTTCCAAGAAGTCATCTTGTGATGATGTGAGTTCCAAGTGTGGGTCTTGCATCCGGTGATGACCACTGTTACCGTTGATTTGAAGGCCTTGAAGATGGATTTGTTGAGTGGAGTTTAAGAACGAGTTCATTGCTTGCATTTCACGGCTACAAGGAGGGGTTACGCAGCATAGGCTCGCAAGAGCCAAGGCAATCAAACATGCCCTTATTCTCCATTTCTCCCCGAATGCCCTCGTCCCCTTTTTTTTTTTTTTGCTGAAAAAACCGAACACCCCAGCTTGATTTCCTCTCTCCCTTTTTATTCCCTCATTTTTTACTTTTTTAGTGCCCCTTTTTATAATTTTTTACTAATCCTTTAAAATCCCGTAAATCATGGGATTTTACAAGACATCGTGGATTCATGGTGGGTTCCTGGAATAATGGTGAGCGTAGGTTGAGAGCACTTTCTTCCTTTGTTTGGTTATTGGAGTTATTGGTGGAAGTAGTGGAGGTTGAACTGGGGACTATAAAAAATAAAAATAAAAAATATTAATAATAATAATAATAATAGATAAATAATATAAATAAAAAAATAAATTCTTTCGTAAATCCTGATAAAAATAGGTGTCTAAAATACCTCAGAGAAGCACTGAGCCGGTACAAGATGAGTGACCGATTTCATGAGTCGATCCAAATTGGTCAAACTAGAAATCTCCGGTGGGTACGGCGCGGAGGAGCAGGCCAAGTCAGGCCTCGACAATGTAGATTCGTCCGAATCCGTTCGAGACTCAGCCAGTGAACCGACCAAGTTGACCCGGTTCTCATCCTTCAACGGCCTCTGCAGCTCCTGCTGCAACGGCCTGTGTAGCTGCTGCCTCTGCCGCATTATAGAATCGGTCCCCCGTCTGAGTTCGGGTCAACGCGAACCCTCCCGAGTTTGACATCCTACAATTAAATCTACAAGTCTAAAAACCTCCTAAGAAAGGAAGTTTTGCAGGATTCACCGAAATTGATGGGACACAGAGGGAACTAGAGGCTTTTGTTTAGAGTTTCAATAGGCAAAAAATTGATTCCATCACTACTTCTGTTTGCTTTGTTTCTCTACTGCTAGTTTCATTGTCTGTTCTTTTTCCCTCGAAATCTCTCCTTCCTCGACTGAAATTGATATTTGGAGTATATTCCATGCATTATCGAAAATTATGGTATTTTATTTTTTTTAAATCGTTTTATATTTTTTCTAAATTGATGGTATATATTTTATCTATTACAAAAGTCAATTATCATAACATAAAATTTTATTTTTGACTTGTATAAATGAAGAATAAAACCATTAATTAAGGTTTATATTATATTTTTACAAGAAATACGTGGTATCCATTTAAATTTATGGATGAAATTAATTAATTGATTATATTAATTTTGCATGAACTAAATTACCTCTCAGTGATTAAAAGAATTGTTATTATTTTTAGAGTTCACGTGTTCGAGCACTAACGATTGTAACAGGATGATTGTGCATATATTATCGAATGATTAAAAATATTTAGAACATATATTATTTTGTAATCACTTGAGTTTAATAAAAAAAGTATTTTTGAATTAGAAAATGTTTAATATTTTGACTATATAATGGATCTGATACAACAGTTTGTTAATTTGAATTTTTCTTTCCTATTATGTGATAGATATAAAATATTATCTTAATTAAATTTTTATTTTTATGATTAATTATTGAAAATATGTTAATTGAATTATTATTTAAAAATTTATATATTATAATTTAATTAAGATAATATTTTATTAAAAAATTAATAGATTATTATCTAATTCAATTTATTATAAGAACAAAGTATATTTATATTTATTTTATAATTTATAAACTAAAATTAGTTTTATAATCCTAATCACTCGTCTTAATAATTTTATTTTCAAAATTTAAACATAAGATATCCTTTATCCTATGACGTGTATTTGATTCACCGTAATTATTTTGCAGAGAACATTTCCTAATTTTCTAGTATTTAGTTCAAGAAAATGCATTAGGTCAATGGACATTAACATGTAGGTCAATGAAAAAAGGCAAGCATTTTCAGTATAACAACTATCGCTTCTAATGTCTTTACTTTCTCATTCATCTGATGTTGGAATATTATGGTGAAAAAATTATGGAATAAAATATAACATTTTTAAATGAATTACATTAACCGAAGATTTTGATATGAAAACACGGTAAAATGGCCCAAATAACGTGGTTGGAAATAGTTTCCCCAAGAATAATGTGATTCCCCGATTAATTTCTCATATTGGGTGATTTCTACAATACAAGAAAAAGATTTTAGAAAATCTCGGTTTTTTCAGAAAAAAATAAATTTTCCGGGATTACTATGCGTGTTCAGGCATTCAAGCCATGCAGAAGGCACCGAGATTACTCGACGTCTTCAGTGTAGGGTGGTAGGTTGTCTCCAACTGAGAATCAGGTAAGTAATAATGGAAATATTAATTATTCATTAATAATCGAGTAGGTTAGTAGTTGGTGGTTGAACGGACAATTGTAATAAATATTCAGGATGTTATAAAATGGAGTGTTTTGGTTGATAATTGGGGAGTAAAATAGTGGTGAGGAAAGAAGAGAAGAGGCAAAATATGAAGAAGAATTGAAAGAGTAAGCATCCGAGAAGAATATTAGAGAAAATTTTGAATGAAATTTTCTTCCAATATATATAATATGTAAGTATTATTCAAATAAAATTTTATTCGTATTCGAATAAAATATCTCTATTTCGTATTATTTAATATTAAAATATTAATTTTAATATGTTGTTGCAGGTAAAAAAGATGTGAGTAAGAAATTCGAAAAGATTTTTTTATAACATCAACTTGTAGGAAGAAACTCTCAATTAAGTGAAAAAATATATTATTTAAAGTATTTTACGATTTATTGTTAGTTACATATTGTCTTAGTAAATGTCAGTTTATGATTTATTGTTATGTAAATATCATTATTATAATTTCAACATTATTGATTTAGTATTTGTAGTAGAAATATTAAGATAATTTGATGAACATATTCGACTTAGTATTTGTAGTAGAAAAAATAATATTTATTATAATGACGAAAAATAATATTTATTATAATGACGAAAAATAATGACACCATTAATTATTCATTAATAATCCTGGTAGGTTGGTGGTTTGTGGTTGAAAGGGAAAGTATAATGAATATCTTGGGATGTTATAAAATGAGGTGTTTTGGTTGAGAATTAAGGAGTAATAAATTCGAAGTAATAATAAGTAGTTATAAAAAATCTGAAGTAATAAATTTAATCATTATTATAATATAAGCATAGTATTTAATCCGAACATTTGATTTAGTATTTGTAGTAGAATTTTTTCATTATAATAACGAAAAATAATATTTAGTATAATGACAAAAAATAATGGCACCATTAATTATTCATTAATAATTCGGGTAGGTTGGTGGTTATTAATTATCCATTAATAACCTGGGTAGGTTGGTGGTTGTGGGTGGTGGTTGAACGAGAAAGTATAATGAATTAGGGAGTAATAAATTCGAAGTAATAATAAGTAGTTATAAAAAATCCGAAGTAATAAATTTAATCATTATTATAATGTTATAATAGTAGTTAATCTGAACATATTTGATTTAGTATCTGTAGTAGAAATTTTTTTATTATAATGACGAAAAATAATATTTATTATAATGAAAAAAATTATGGCACCATTAATTATCCATTAATAACTCAGATAGGTTGTGGTTGGTGGTTGAACGGGAAAATATAATGAATTAGGGAGTAATAAATTCGAAGTAACATTAAGTAGTTATAAAAAAATCTGAAGTTATAAATTTAATCATTATTATAATTTTATCATAGTATTTAATCCGAACTTATTTAATTTAGTATTTGTAGTATAAATTTATTTATTATAATGAAGAAAAATAATATTTATTATAATGCCAAAAAATAAGCTTTGCAGGTAGACTGCAACTCATTCGAGATGTATTGTATAGTTTGACTAACCATTGATGGAGACAGTTAATCTTACCCAAGTTATCAAAAGGGTTAAGCAACTGTGTTCTCATTTTTTTCTGAAAAGGTTCTCATGTGGCTGACAATAGTACTCGTGTTAATTGAAAGCAGACATGTTGGTTGGCTGAGGTTTATGTCAATGCAAGCTGGAGCCTTAGGAGGATTTTCAAGCTGAGGAGGGAGGCTCGAGCTTTACTTGTTACTTCTGTTAAAGTAAATGATTTGAGGGCGAGATGAACATGGGATGAGATTGGGGTGAAGAGGCCTAAACTTCTTTAACATAAGCTTGTTAGGTGTCTTGGTCACGTACCCAAACATAGCGTTATTGTTTGGATGATCATTTTGGGAAGATTGTCTACTAAGGACATGCTTTTGTAGATTGGGGTAAATGTGGATGCTAAATATATTTTTTGTGGAAATGAAAATGAAACAAGATATCATTTGATGTTTGATTGTGCTTTTGCGAGACAACTCTGGGAAAATGTTTTGCGACCGTGTGGTCTGCATAGGTGTGCAATGAGTTGGGGAGAAGAGCTTGCTTGAAATTGTTCCATTTTAAGGGCAAAACTCTCACTGCAACTGTTTTTAGGATGGATGGGATAGACATACATATTATGTTTGGGAAGAGAGAAAATATAAGGTAATCTAAGGGCATACTTGTAAGGTTGTTGATTTCCTGCTGATCATCAAGTTAGTGATTCAAATTAGGCTGAAAGGGAGGACTTCCATTAGGCCAAACCATGTAAATGCTAGGCTTATTAATGCTCGGAGTATTTTATAGTTGCTCCTGTTGTTGATCGTAGCAGCTGATTGCTTCTTTTAAGTAATAAATTAAATTTATTCAAAAATAATAATTTTACCAAAATCTTTCTAACTACCAGTAACTTTATTAATTATTATCGTATGCATCAAATTTTCAAATAAAAGCACATAAATCTTAAATTTCCTAATTTTTTTAACATCATTGTTTCATAAATTTAATCCATTTAGATAGTTTACCCTTTAATATATCCACATTTAATTATTGGTAGGCCGAAAACATACGACACTCAATCGCAGGGTTTTTTGGCCCAATAGGGCAGAGGGAAAAAATTAGGCACCTTGACTTTTAATTGTGGAGACGCAGCGGCCACGGTTCCGAGGGATGAAATCGGCTATGATAGCACCGCCGCACATGTCTTAAGAGGAACTATTTGGCTGAAGCAGTAAGAACTGTAAGGTAATGTTTATTCTGAGAGCTTGAAAACCTGTAATGGAGAAGGTGATAATGAGAAATATGAATGGTTTAAAGGAAGGTCTTTTTTCAATAAATTTGGAAAATAAGTGAAGAAAGAAGAACAGCGAGAAGTTAAGTAGGGGACGGAAATAGTTAAAAGGTGCGGTACAGTAAATACTTGCCTTCCTTTGACTTGGATGCCAAGCATCTAATAATAATGATAACATCACTTCATCATTTATACTGTTTTGATTGGATGAGGATAAAAATCATAAATCATCATTAAGCTTTTTTTAAAATGATTATATTTTTCATTATAATTTTCATACTTCTAAAATGTTATTAAAAGAGTGATGCAACGTACTAAATTAAATGAAAATATCTTATTTTTAATTAAAACCAAGGTTTCTTTTTTATATCATTTCAATATTTTTAAATAATAATTTAAAAATGATAAAAAAATAGATTTTTTTAAAATATTTGAAAATAATTTTTTAAAATATATAATTTTGTGATTTTTCATTCATCGATTTCTTATAATAACTAATTACTTATTTAATTGCGGTTTAATTGCGGTTGCATTTCTAAAATTAAAAATTATAATTTTTTATATTTAGAAAA